CTTTGCTAAACCTTAACTTGCTTTATCTTTCAGGAAGACAGGAGAACACAGCAGTCAATGGCTCGAACACGGTCAGGCAGGACTGGCTGTGAGCTTCTCAAGCTCTCCGAGCCAAAGAGGCCTCGTCTCATGCATCTGACCCCAAACCCCCCAGTATGAATCACACTGTGCCCCAGACCCACCGGCTCTGCCTGGATCCAGCAGGGAGGAGCCAAGAGGATCAAGGAGGTGTTCTGTTTTTCAGGCCAGGCTGCTACTCCCAGACACAAGCCCGCTGGCCATGGAGAGGCCCTGGAGGGCCAGGATCCTTGACTGGCCTGAAGCATTCCACCCACCCATCCCCACTATGCCCTTGAACAAAGGAAAGGAAGCCCCTGAGTTAAAAGCAGAACTGGGATGGATCACAGGTCTGAGCCTCCCGGTACAGTGCTCCCTCTAAAACATGCCCTCAGGTCCTCTCAGGTCATTTCAAATCCAAGCCCCAGGAGACCAGTCTTTCCCTCTTGGCTTTACCACCAGCATATCCAGAATAAGTAAATCCATAGAAAGAGAAGGCAGATTGGTGGTGCCCAGGCTAGAGAAATGTGGGAGCAGGGAGTAACTAACCGCTTCATGGGGGACAGGGGTTTCCTTTTAGGGTGATAAAGTCGGAACTAGACAGAGGCAGCAGGTGCACACGTTGTGAACGCACTAAATGCCACTGAATCGTTCACTTTAAAACGGTTAGTTTTCTATTATGTGAATTTTACCTCGATTACAAATGAAGATACCCAGGGGCCCCTGGGTGGCTCAGCTGGTTAAACATCTGCCATCAGCTCAGGTCACGATCCCAGGGTCCTGGGATGGAGGCCAGCATCGGGCTCCCTGCTCAACGGGGAGTCTGTTTCTCCCTCACACTCTCCTGCTGTGCTCCCTCTCTCTCTCAAATAAATAAATAAGATCTTTGAAAAAATAAAATAAAAAGAAATAAGGGAATCTGGAGCTAAGAGATTAAAGCAGGAAGAGAACAAGTGCCAAGGGGGGCAGGGAGGTGAAGAAGGGCTGAGGTATAGGGGGGGCATTGCAGGAACAGGGTGGCTTGAGGTGGGACAACAGTAAGAGGGAAGGTGGTCTAGACGGTGCAGCCAGTTGAAGCAGCAGAGCCTTGGACTTGGGAAGCCAACTGCCTGTAGGGGAAAGGGAAGAACCAGGGAGGGAGGCGGACAGGCACGAACAGACCTCAAGCTCTTTGCTTCCTCTGAGTGTGGACTGCAAGCTCCAGGGTGGGTGTGGGCAGGGACCTCATCTCTTTGGCTGTTTCTAATTTTCAGAGCAGTTTCGTCACAGGTAGATGGTTCTTTTAAAAATGCTGGTGCCAAGGGAATGATATCAAACACATTAAGCACCAGGAAGATTATCTGCCGCCCACGCCAGAGAAGTGGGGATGGCACTGGGCTGAGTGTGTGTGTCACTCAGGGCGGCAGGGGTCTGCCCGACTTCCCAGGGCCCAGAGGGCCCGCCCAGAGTCCCAAGGGGGCAGCACCCACCCGGGGCCTGAAGTGGGGGAAAGGATTGGGTGAGCACCATGGGCTCCTTTGTCAGACCCAGGAAGGATAGTGGGGGCAGCTACAGGAAGTGGGGGGGGGGTAAGGAGTTCCCTCCGGAATCTCTCCCCCCACTTCCCTCCCCTGCGCTTGCACAGCTCCTGCACATGCTCAGTGTGCCCACGAATTGGGTTGGCTGGGGGAGGGCATCGGCTGGCACCCCCACTTAAAGGGCCAGTGCCATCCTTGCTTACACCCAGCAGGAGTGGTGGGAACTGGCCCCCTCTTCCCTCATCCTGATCACTTCACCTCAGACCCCCTTCTTCACTTCCTGCAGACGCCTCCTGCCCCCTCTCTGGACACAGGAGTTTCCACCTGAGCTGGAAGGAGTCCTGATGGGGAAGAGAGGAGGAGGTGGGCGAGGGTACGCAGGGGTAGTGGGAAGCTTCGCTCCCGTGGAATGTATCTGCCTCTGTGGTCTTCCCTCTCCTGGCCCAGGTGACCAAGGAGATCCTGGAAAGCAAATGGGCATGAAGGAGGCAGACACTAAACATTTGTTCTAAAAGGCCTGGAGAGGGAATGGGAATGTGTCTAAGCCCCAATTTCCCCAGCTGAGGAGGTGTGTCTATTGTGGCAGAGGTGGGGTGGGGTGGGGGTTGCTGTAAAGTTGGAGCTTCTGTCACTGCTGTGGGGTAGAAAGAAGCCCAGGCCTCAGGACCAAGCAGGCGGAGAGGGGAAAAGGTGAGAGAAGCAAGGTGAGGTGGGGCCCACACTTGGCCACCACCTGTGGCAGAGCCACCCCCCAACCCCAGTGCTGCTCAGCCCTGGGGCTCCTGGGCACTGAGGTCAGGGATCCAGATCCGGGGAGGAGGGGACACTGAGTCTCCTTCACCGACCCCTCTCAGTAAAGACACTTTCCTTGCTCACACTCTTCTTTTCTTGACCCAGCCTTTGGTAATATTAACCTAGGTTGAGAGAGAGAGAGAGAGTGTGTGACTGTCTCTCTCTCTCTCTATTTCTCTCTCTCGGGGGTGGGGCTTTCCCATCTCCAGGCTCCTCAGCTTCTGAGCCAAGAAGGGCGGATCTTCTCACCTGTCCCCGCCCAGCAGCTCTGGCCTACTCAGGGACGCGCAGGCCCAAGCCGCCTCCAGGACACACCCCCAGCACTTCTCCCTCCCGTCACACCCCTCCCCCAACCCTCCTGCAGCCCCCTCTGCAATCTCCTCACCCCTCCTAATCACGGCACACCACCGGGTAAACAACCTTGTCCAACCAGGCAACCTCTGCCTCTGGGCTCCCAGGCTCCTTGCTGAGGAATGTGGCAGCTGGGAGGCTGCCTGGGGCTGCCAGTGCCTTGCAGGGTGGGGGTGGGCGGGGTGGGGGGGGTGTCGGCCTTCGGATCCCCAGCTGGCACTCCAAGGAGGATGGCAGGCTAGGAATTCAGAAAGCCTCTCCCACCTGCTCTGCGCCTTGGATTTCCCATCTGCAAAGTGGGGACAGTCATTCCTCTGGTCTTTCCTGAGCTGCTTGGGGATCAAAGAGAAGGGGGCTAAAATCTGTGGCAGAACCCCACCCCCACCCCACCCCACCCCCACCAGGGACAGGAGAGTCTGCTCTTTTCTTGAAAAACTGTCCCTTCCTAGAATCAGTTCTCGCCTCGCTTCCCTTGCTGAAGGCGCTGGCAAGGCCTGGGTGTGGCAGGGCAGAAATGAAAGTTGTCCAGACAACACAGGGTTCGTCAACATTTCCATCCCAGCAGCTCAGAGGCCTGAGCCCTTCTCTTGCCCAGTGTGGCCTGTCAAGATGAGCCTTCTGGAATGGAAGCTAGGTTGGACTGGCCAGGTCTCCGCCCCTCCCCGCGCACGGGGTGTGTGGCCGAGGGACACAGGCTCATGGATGAGTTGGCTAACTTCCCTCTCCACCACCCCTGCCTGAACTTGACAACCAATATGGAGGCAGGCACAGTGATGAAGTGACACCGGTGTCTGGGGAAGGGTGGTCTTCGGGGCGGCAGGGGAGTGGTGGTGGTGCTGGATGAGCTCATTTCAGAGCCCAGTACTACCTGGCGCGTGGCTGGGACCTGCATTGTCCCAGCTAACTCAGCTGTCGATATCGCAGACAGGTGAGGGGCTCACCTCAGAGGGAACGAGGGAAGGAGGGAAGGGACCACACAGGTGACTAGGCTAAGAGAAGCAGGAGGCACAGAGCGGAAGTGAGCAGTGGGAAAGCCAGGCCACCAGCTCTGCTAAGAATTGATTTACGCCCTCACCCCAGCCCACCCAGGGCTTTTTTTCCATTAGGAGAAAACCTCCCTTGGGGGACCTGGGTGGCTCAGCCGGCTAAGGGTCCCACTCTTGATTTCGGCTCAGGTCACGGTCTCAGGGTCGTGGGAGCCAACCCTGCATCCAGATCCCCATTCAGAGCGGAGTGTACTTAGTCCTCTCTCTCTGCCCCTCCTACTTATGCATGCGTGTGCATTCTCTCTCTCAAATCAATAAAACATTTTTTTAAAGATTTTATTTATTTATTTGACAGACAGAGATCACAAGTAGGCAGAGAAGCAGGCAGAGAGAGAGGGAAGCAGGCTCCCTGCTGATCAGAGAGCCCGATACGGGGCTCGATCCCAGGACCCTGGTACCATGACCTGAGCTGAAGGCAGAGGGTTAACCCACTGAGCCACCAGGTGCCCCTCAAATCAATAAAATCTTAAAAAAAAAAGAAAAGTAGAAAACGTCCCTTGAGGGCATACTTGTAAGTGCCCTTCCAGGAGGTAAGTGGGGCAAAACTGATGATTAACATCCTGCCCAGCCACTGGCTTCGAGGTATGGGGCCAGGGGGTTGCCAAGGACAAGGAGACACAAGCCATCCAGCTTGGCCCTCCACGCTATGGGGAGGACAGGGAGCCTGGGAACAAAGCCTGACCGAAGCCCTCCTAAGTCCCAGCCCTCTCCCCTCCAGGGACACCCGCAGCTCCTCACAGCAATCTGGCATCTTAAGTCAAGTTCTGGCCCAACCGGGTGGTTCCTGAGCACCCCCTCCCCTTGACTCATCCTCTGTAATACCTTCAGAACAGCCTGATTGTTCCCGGACACACGGAGCAGAATTCAGGCATCCTAGAGGTCTCGGTGGTTCCCCAGGACAGAGGTGTGCTGGCCTCTCAGGCTTGAGGAAAGGCAGGGATTGGGACCACAGGCCCAAACCTCTCTGGGACACAGTATGCTCTGATTCTCAGAGCAGCCCCAGTGAAATCAATCCTAGCCACTTCCATTTGGGATCGTGAAAATCCTTTAATTTCTTTGTGAAAAATAAGACATCAAAGACCAAATTACAGAAATGACCAGGTGGAAGGCTGAACCTACTTTCGCTGTTCTCAGGGGCCACAGAGGGGCCGGAAGTGGTTTTCATCTGTCACCTGCCTCCTGGAGCCCCAGCTGGCCCCAGCGTGCATTGAAACGGGACCTGATCCTGGCGGGGTGGTGGGGGGGGGGTTCCCCCCTAGGTGCCTGGCTCCCCACCGCGGCCGCCGCCCTCTCGGTTCCACCTGGCGTTCTCCTGCCGCAGCCGCTGGTTCTCTGTCCGGAGCCTCTGGACCTCGGCAGCCAGCTCCTCCACCTGGCGGCAAGGCTGCCGCCTGGCGCACCCCTGCAGCTGCTGCAGCCTCCGGGTCTCCTCCTCGGCCTGAGACAGCCGCCTCTCCAGATCGAGGTAGTCTCGAACCAGCTCCTGCTTGCTGCGGCCCTGCAGGCTCTCCGTGTGGTAGCGCTCATAGGCCTCGGAGAAATCCCTCTGCTGGAACTCGCCGTGAGCGCGGCCCCGGCCGTCGTCCTCGCCGGCCTCGCTCTCCCCGCTGGAGCCTGGGTGGGAGGCCCCGTGGGGCACCTCGAGGTTGGGCTCCTCAGGGTCGCGGTCGTTCATCAGAAACTGGGTGGTGTTGTAGGGCGCCACGGGCTGGCCTTTGGCAAACATCTCCTCGCGCACCCGCGAGGCCCTCTGGCTCTGCCTCTCATCCCGCTGCTGCTTCTCGGCCCAGCTCAGCTCCAGGTAGGGCCGCCAGTGGCGTTTGCGCTTGGAAGGCCTCCGGCGGTGCTTCTTCCGGCCCAGCACGGCTTCCACCGAGCTGCCCCCGGGGCTCTGGGTCCGGGAGCCCCTGCTGATCCAGCCCAGGCCACTGCCAGCCCCGCTCGGATCTTCCTCCTCTGAGTGGCTCTCTATCCGGGGTGTCAGGGGCAGGGCAGTACCAGGGTCATGAGGCTCAGGGGGTGTTGGGGGGCTCCCAGGAGCACCAGGGGTCTAAACAGGACAAGGAAGAGCGAATCACAGACAACACGTCCCTGGCGCCAGAAGCCTTCTGCAACCACCCGGCCTGAAACTGACCTTCCCGCAGTTGAAGTGGGGTCCCTCTCTAGCCTCTTGCCCTCTGCAACTCTGTTGGTTTATGGGCTCCTGTCTGCCCCCCACCCCTCACCCAACCCTCCTTAAGGGAACTCATGAAAAGAGCGGGCCTTCTGCCTGTGTGGCTCACTCCGGAATGGCAGTGCCTCCAACAGTGGCCATCCCTGGCCTCACAGAGGAGGCTTAACATAAATAGGGTGGGGATGAAGACAGAGAAGGAGACAGGATGGGCAGTGTGGCTCCTGCTGCATTTGCTTGATGAGCCCTCTTTCTAGAAAGACTGTCTTTCCAACGGACCTGGTTTTGTGGGTAAGCAACCTCAGGGCCCCTCACCCCCATTCTGCTTGGAAAGGCCCTGTGCTTTGCTTTATGCTCTGCTTTAAGTTCTTGTCTTGAACTTCTTAACAGTTTTTGAGTAAAGAACGCTTTACACTGAGCCCTACAAATTACGCTGCCGATCTTGCTTCTAGCTATGTGCATGGCTGACTCCTCAGTGCTTGGTGCCAATGTCACCTCTTCAGAGGGCCACACCCCCCCCAACCACCCCATCTAAAGATCCCACCTCCCCTTCCCAGGGACACTGCCGTGTGACCCAGTTAACATCCCACATAGCATCTACCACAATACCATTTACCATCTGTCTTCTTCCTACAAGAATGTGTCTTGTCTGTCCAGTCCACCACTGTGTCCCTTTGCGTGGCCCAAGGTGAGAGCTTGATGAACAGGTTAAAGGACATAAAGCCCATAAGAGAGGGAGATTCAAAAGACACCGGACAGAAAAAAAAAAAAAAAGACACTGGGACACGAGACACTCATTTCTGTTGGTCTAGGGTCAAGAAGATGGAATGTATTTTTTCCAAGCAGAAGCTGGTATCAGTTCTTGAAATAAGCAGCAGGAAAGAGGCCCTCGATAGGGAGAGGAAGGGTGAACCTCCAGTCTGCAGCAGAGAGCATTCTAGAACTTATCTAGGAGGTGGAAAGGATTCTGTCAAGACAGTGTGTGTGCAAAGCATCTGTTTATCTCTGTCGTGGTAAGTAAGGGTGGGAGCACTCGGGGTGGGGGATGGGGAATGAATTGCTCTCTGTCTGTGGTTTGGGAATTCTAATAATAACCGCTACCATTGGCATGTTGCTTTACGATGCACACCACGGGTCAGACACACCCCAGCACAGGTCCAGACACTGGGGGGGGGAGGTGCAGCCCTGTAGGAGCTGGAGGGGTGTTGTGTGTTTGGGAGGCCCTGAGGTTCTCGTCTTCATCTGGGACGGGGTATGTCAGAGTGCGTACGGCGTAGGCGTGTATGTTGTCTGTGTTGTACTGTTACTTTACCTGCAGGGAGATCGTCAATCGGGAACAGTCCTTGTCTCCACCAGTGTCTTGAACCAAGTGAGACAGAGCTTTTGGCCCACACCAGAAGGGGCAAGGCCCCTGGCAGTGCCAAGACAAGGTGGCTTGTGTGCGCACAATCATTCACCAACACCCAGCCCTCAGCACGTGTCACCTAATGATCCTTCCTCTCACCCCCCCCACCTCAGCCCCAAGTGCCGCCTCCCTCCTGAAGGCTTGTCCCTTCACCGCCATTCCCACTACTGCAGATAAGCTATGTGATCTGGGTGAGTCACCTGCCCTCTCTGAACATCTAACCCCAACATGTCATGAACTCCAAGTTAAACAACTCCAGAAAACACTGGAAGGGGCTACATAAGGTGGGTTAGAGGAGCTGAGTCCCCTCCTCACATACAGGGACTTGTAAACTCTGAGAGAATAGGCAGCGTGGGGAGCAGCAAGAGAGAGCATGGGCAGAGAAGGTCTGGGTTGCTGTTGCCAGCTCAGAGGGTGACCATTCCCAATACGACCGGTCTCTCCCTGTCTCCTGGATGCTCTGTGAACCCCAAGCCCCACCCTAAATTATGAACCAACCACTCAAACTCTTTTCCCTGCGTCAGACTTGGTTCTCAGCCTTGACAAAATACAAGGCAGGGTTCCGGTGTCAGAAGGCCCCAAGTTTAAACCGTGGATCTTTTGTTCGTTGACTGCATGAATCTAGAAAAAGGTATTTCAGCTCTGTTAACCTTAGCTTCTTTGAAATGGATACAGTAATTCCTATCTTGAAGGGCTCCTAGGATTTCATGAGACGGCACAGATTTGGCATCCTGGCATACTGCCAACACACAGTAGGAACTCAGTTAGAAATACTGGTTTTCCAGATCAGCCAACACACCTGAGACAAACGACCAGAATCCCAGTGGGCAGGATCCACGTCGGGGCACTCAGGCGGTTGGGAAGGTGGGGCTTACCTTGGCCTCCTCCAGGGTGGCTGTTGACTCTGTGTTACAGTTGGTCTGGCTTGGAGTTGACAACTTCTTCTGCTCCCAATCTTTCAGCAGATGCTTCTAACTAATGACACCAGCCTTAAATAACAGAAAGCTAAGTCTTAAAGGAGAATTTTCAGGAAGGCTGGCTGCTCAGGAATTTTTCACCAAGGCAGAAGTGGCCATTTTGTAGCACCGGACCCACACAACTTCATTATAAAATGCAGGCCCTCAGGCCTCCACTCCCGGGGTTTTCACACCTCTAGGCAGCAAGGGGCCATCCTCCCAGTCCTTTCCCTCAGGCCCCAGGCCAGGGCTTACATCCTAGGCTGTTCTTCCGAAAGTCACTGAGACCCAGGCTGGCAGCTAGGATGCTAGTCCTGAGCTTTGCTCCCCCAGCAACCAAAGGGGTAAAGGGAGGCAAAGATACAGGAATGACCTGCATTGACTGGTAGTGGAGTGTGGTCAGTGGCTGGAACAAGAAAATATGTAGCAGGCTTTACAAGGGGTTCTTTCCTCACTGCCTCCAGAGGTTGCAATCCTGACGGCACCCCGCCCCACCTCCCTTAGGCTGGGGCTCCCCAAGTCAGCACCTCGAGAAACACAGACGTGGTCTGGGCCGGGCCGGGGGCTGAAGCCTTATCATCTCCTGGGCCTGGCCTGCCTCCCCCTCCTTCCTCTCAGGACGGGAAATAGAGGAAAGGGGAAGAAGTCTTCACACTACATGCGGCTGGAAGGGAAGCCCAACTGGAATAAGGATGGATTCCTTGGAAGAGGGGAAGTGGTCCGAGAAAGGAGATTTTGCAAAGGCGGAACTGACCTATTTGCTGTCAAGGACTATGCACACGACTATATCTGTGTGTCTTTCTGTGCGACCGACGGCCTGTCGGTGCAGCTCCCAATGCCTCAGCCCTACTTCTTGCTGCAGTTGCAGCTGCTCTGGTCAAGCCGCTCGGGGAAGAAGGGGGGCAGGGGGAGGAGACAGCCTGGCAGCGCGGCGCCTGCTGGGGATTGTAGTTCTTCTAGTTTGGGAAGCCGGATGAAGAGCCTGTCTCGACCTCAGTCAGACCGAGAACTACAAAACCCATCTGCTTTTGCGCGAGCAGCGTCCCGCGCTCACCGATGCCTTCTTTGATTGGTCAAGCCGCCTGCCAATATTTTCACTTTCGTCAACGATTAGCTGTGCGGAAGCACAACAAAACCCGCCTTCCGAGATCAATTAAAGAGTTCATTGATGGCGTTAATCTTTACGGGACAGAAAATAGATCCGGCTGAGAGGGGCGGGGCTGTGGGTGCGGATGGATCCTCGTCCTAGAGGAAGGCGACGAGAAGGATCGGTGGCCGCCGCCGCCATTTTGGGCTGGGAGGAGGCAGCGGAGGGACTCGCTGCGCAGTGAGAGCACCCCATGGGGGGTGGTCCGGGCGCGGGGAGAGGCCGGGCCAAGTGCGCTGCCTGAAGTGGTGGCGCCGGGAGACGGCGGGGAGTGGGACCGGGGGCCGGGGGGGGTGAAGGTTGGAGTCTTCCCGGCCGGGCCCTGTCCTCAAACCGTCCCGGCAGCCCCGCAGCCTCGCCTCGCACAGTCGGCGGGGTTTTGGGCAATTACCGCGTGTTCCCCGAGACCCCAGTTGGGGAGAGACCAGGTGAAACGACTCCCCTCTGCTCTTTCCACGGGGGGCGCAGATCCTGAGGCCGAGCTTTGCCAACTTCTTTCCCCACCCCCATGCGGCCTGGGTATGGCGGCGGGGCCCAGCGTTGCGGGGCCTCTGCTTCGACGGGCGAGGTGGGGGCGACGCCAGATTCCAAAGAGTGGCGCCGCGGGGGAGGGCGGAGGGCCCAGCTCTGGCCCCGCGTCCTTCTGGCGTGGCAAACAGCAGGAGGCCCCGAGGGCAGAGAGCCGGGTGCGCCCCCCCGCCCCAGTCTTCCCGTGTACACCAAGGCCGTCCCGAGGCCCGGGCTTCGAGAAGGAACAGCCTCCTTCCTACAGTAGCAACCACTAATTTCCCCCTGGAACTAGGTAGATAAGAGGCTCGTGGAAACCTTTAGAAGCCCAATGCTTGGAAATCTCTTGAGGGCTCTTGCTCTCAAGATTCTTTCCAGCCCCGATTCTCCGAACGACCTGACCTGGCACGTCCCCAGCCCGTTTGGGAAACTCCAAAAATGTGCTGTTGCACTTCTCTTAAAAGTTTACACCAAAGAGGGGTTGAGTTTTTGCCCTTTACAGGGTTGGGGGGGGGGACACAAAATAACCGAGGGGTCGTGGCTCTGGGAATAAAAATGGAGTGGCCCATTTCGGATGCTTCAGGAACATCTGTGTGCGTTTTGAAATCTGAGCCATGACTTTTACCAAAACTTTTGGAGAAGTGGCTGCTCTCCTAGAGGAAAAAACGAACTAATTCCAACGTAATCTTTATCAGACTAGAAATTCTTTCCAGTTTAAAGAACTTTTCTCCCACAAACTAAACAAAATGGGGAGACTTGGCCACCGGTGCATTGTTACTAGGGAACCTCTATTTTGAATTTCCAAGTAATTGAAAAATCACTTCTGTGGATCCCAGATGTTAACCAAGATGGAAATTGGCAGTTTTGAGCTACTTCATATTTATAGTGTTTGGGAGGTGAGGGAGACATGCTTTGAAAAAAAAAAAATAAACACTCAACCTTATATTACAGCTGTAGTAGCTTAAGGATTGAAGTTTGATGTGAAATTATTTTCTTGAATTACAGATTAAGCGATCTTGTTTTCTGCTCAAAATCTAACTTCAGAGAGCTTTACATACAGTTCAGGGATATCTTAATTATTTCATTGCTAAAATGTCAGTAAAACTATGCTTAGGTAGACTATGAGAGTGGACTGAGTAGTGAACTTTACCTTTGAGGGTAACTCGTGATGAATCTCTTTGCCTGTCACACATGGTCACATTCCTGAGCCTTTGGCTTTATTAGCAAGAAGCTTGAAAGGTTTTTGAGAAATGAAGCTGCCCTCCTCCTATTAATAATTTTTTTAAAGTTGTAAATGACAATTCCATAGCCTTATCTATAGTCTCCCTCTACTTCAGATGGTCTCAGAAAAAGTCTTGCAACTGGATTGTGAAAATATGGTCACCATTGACTTGATTTCTTAATCCAAAATTTGAACCACAAAATGCAGTACACTTGATTCATACTGTAGGGTTGATTTTTTTGGCTTATGTCATGTTAATTTTACACTTCTTCAGATCAAGAGAAGATGAGTTAGGAGAAGCTGTCATTAGCTTGGTGGGAGTTAAGTTAAATAGTATTAGGAGCTGAAAGGGGTTTTAAAGATTTATCCTTGTGGTTCTTCTGTTTAATGGAGGAGGATCCCAGACTCTTGTGAAGTAATGTAGTTAAACCTTTGGATGCTACTAGGTGAATACCGTGCCAGATGCAGAAATGTGTTACTCATTTATAAAGATGAAAGGTTACTATCTTTAAGGTTGAGCTTCATGCTTTTCCATTCCTTGATAAGGAAAGCTGGGAATAAACCCAAGTTATGAATGCTCCCTTGGTTCTCTCCTGAGCAAAACACAGGCCTGGAAGTTAGGAACTTGCAAGTTCTCTTTCTTTGTGTGCTACCACTGACTTGATTGGCTTGGCCAGGGGCCAAATCCTGAAGATGAGTCCGAACTGGTCATTTTGTTGCTGAGTCTGTTATTTATCTAATGTTCAGCCAGACCTTCAACTTTCTCCTCAGCTATCTCCTTTCAGATGAGTTCCTTTGGGGTTTATGACAAAGTTTGCAGACTTTGCCTTAGTTCCCTGATTTGAAAATAATACCAGTGCTACCCTCCACATAAACACCTTGAGGAGTAACTGCTTTTCAGTAGCTGTATAAACATTTAGTTACCAAAACTTCATTATTGGGGAAGCTAGAACTCCTGCTTCAGAGATTATTTGGGGGGCATTTGAGAGGCCTGCCTTACTGCAAGATGGCTTTGGTTACCCTTGGCAGCCCAAAGGGTGGCCACTCAACTGGACTGAGCAAGCCTCAGTTTCTTAGGGTACCAAGCAGTTGTTGCTACTAAGTCCTGGATGTTTGACCCTGATGGCCAACTCCTGGGGCCTGGGGCCTCTGTGAGAACAGGATTCATTGACTAGTAGGATTGATTCTTTGCAGCAGTCCTCTTCAGGATGAAGATCTTGCTTCTTGATTTGATTTCCATAATTAACCAAT